TGGTTTTAATTTATGCCTGTGTAGCGCTTTGGGGTGCATATCACTACATGCCAAACTGTGTGTGGACTTCTGAAGCTTTAGGGACTTAAAGAGGAGGTACAAGCCCGCTCCCCCTGCAGGGCGGTGGTGGTACCTGGCTCCCCGACAGACTCCAGGCTGAGAACCAGCTGCCGCGTCTCCATGTTGAAGAGCCCCGTGCGGCCGCTGTTGAATGAGGTCACCATGTAGGCGGGCTCGCTGCATACAAGGTCCACTGAGGAGGGGATGCCAAGCTCTGGAGGGGGGGGGGGAGGGGGCGGAGCCTGTTAGGCTGTGTTATCTGGCCCGGGAGCAGACTTCTGCACATATGGACATAAGCTTATCATCAGTAGAGGAGGTCATTTCCTCCCATCCACTTTCCATAACCACACATCGATCACTGACTACTGTGATCTGGAGCAGGAGAACAGAACAGATCAAAAGTACAGTGGACGGCAAAAAAAATCCCAAGATGTTGGTCTTGCTCCAGCCCAAATATCAAGGAGACATCAGCTGCATCCTCAGCAAACGAGACCAATCGTATGATTCATTGAGCCTCAAGTTGAAACACCCCGCCTCAAACAGTCATGATGCGGACAACTCAAAGCCAGTCCTGTCGGACTTTATGCGAGTGACGGAGCTCACAGAGAGGCAGGACCGGCACCAGCACGCCGTCCGACTCACCCCCATTCTCATTGAAGACGGCCAGAGCGGGCGAGGTGTCACCGGCGTCCCACAGCCGCACTGTGCCATCGGCCGAGCAGGACAGCAGGCGCTGATGAGCTGAGCTGTACACCAGGCCCCAGACGGCGTCCGTGTGGCCACACAGCGCCCCCCGCAGGACGTTGGGCTCTGTTGCAGGACAGAGAGACATACGCATGAGGCATACTGAGGCAAAATGCCATACCGTGCCTCCATAGTGTTCTTGACAATCACCCTGTGATAAGCAACTGTTTGCATTTGCAAAAATAAACCTTGAACAATCATTCATTCGTGACTTTCTCCTTGGGGGCTTGATGGTTAAGGCCGATACAATCTGCCCCATGGCCTCATGGTATAAACACCCAGCAGATAATTCTCCATCAACCAATTCGATTTGCATGCAAAATCCAGTCATGCAGAGGCTGTATTTGGGCACAAGATACATCTGTGCTCCCTTAAGAGGAGGTAATACACCAGACAGAATGTGCTACTGATGGTCATGAATGTACCAATTTCTACACAGGTTAACCGCTAATCTATCTCCCCTACAGCAGCAGATACCACTTGAAGCTTTCGAGGGGCATAAAACACATCTAGAAGGAAAAACAGTGACATGGCCTCAATGATTTACTCCAGTTGCCGATAGCATGACATTTCTCACAGGTGAGGGACAATCAAATACCAAATGGGGATTTAACTGCAGGAGAATCAAGCCTGCAGACCAAACGTAACCTTGGGAGAATGGTGATATACTCCTGGGCTAAAGGAGGAAACAGGTCTGATCAGGAGCATGAAACTACATGTAGGAACGTGTCAAGCGTCTGGCCATCCCCATTTCCCAGCCGGGTCGCTCATACCGTAGGAGTCGTAGGGATCGATGTTGGGGTTGGGGGTGTTCCAGCTCTGGATGGTGCCGTCCACACCCCCGCTGAAGCACTGGTCCCCCGAGGTACTCATCACCACGCACAGCACTGAGCCTCTGTGGGTTTGGGGAGGATGCATGTGTGAATCCGGCGGGTCTACATGCACATCAGCCAATGGGCATGTGCAGTATGGGGGGGTTCACTCACCGGTGTGCCCTGAAGGTATAAATAGGCTCCACATCCAAAGCCGTGCTCCTGCAGAACAGAGCGGAAAGGGTTTACGCGAGCATCCGACACACAGCCATTCCTCACGCATGGGGGGGATGGAAAGCTTCTGGAAAGCGAGGGCACACGTACTTCTTGGCTGGGGCGGTCTTCTGCAGGTTCCACATCTTGAGAGTGTGGTCCTCCGAGGCAGTGACGAGCACGGGCTCGGCCGGGTGGAAGGCCAGGCCGCGGATGGCGTCGAAGTGGCTGCGCAGCGTGAACTTGGGGTTCCACGTCTTCCTCAGGGCGTCTTTATTATTGCCGATCTGGGGGGGGGGGG